GACCCCTTCACCTCCGGCCTCTCTCTCTCTCTCTCGTTTTCTATTTTCCCCACTTATTCTCAAATTTGGACCTCTGACCCAGCACCCCTGTTTTTCCCACGACATCAGTCTAGCTTGCCGATCTTCACGATGACAATGCTTAACTTCACTCTCATGCCAACATCACCTCCCCTAGTTCAAATCTTACCTAAAATACAATCCTAGACCGGCTTTCATCGAATTCGTCAAGCCGGTCTTCTCTCTTTGAAAGGAAAGGATCCTTTGGTCGTCAATCTTTATTGCGGCATCACCGGTGAAACAATGGCGATAGTAACAACGATAATGTATTTATCGATTTTGAGTGTGACCCATCCCAGAAGAACCGTTTCCCTCCTCATTATCCTCTTGGACGTAATCTACAACCACCATGGTCATTCGAAGATAAGCAATGCCACTTCTTTGGATTGAAACCAGTGACGCAAAGCTTTTGGAAACCCTGAGTGGCACAAGGTATTGGTGATGTTTGCTTTGAGTTATCTAATGTTTCAGTCCATGATCCTTCGGATAGTCTGTTAGCTCCGCAATGCTACCGTCTCGAAAGCGGTGATGAGCTTCTTAGGGTAAGATGAACATTTCAATCCTTCCGTTAATATTTTAACAATAATGATAATTTTTCAAAATAGTAAAGATAACATTAGATAATAATGAAAGACTATATTAATCAATTAGCTAAACAGTAGTTTAAGAAATTAATCGAATATCATGGTATTTCATAAAGGTAAATCCAAGCAAAGATGTCAAAAGGAAGGGGTGATCATTTAAGGCCGTAATCAAAGTTTTTAGGCCCTACCTGAATTACAAAACTTTAATTTTTGGGTAAAATGGAAAATAATAAACAGCAACCCTGCCTGTGCTAAAGGATAATAATATTATTACCCTTCCAAGCATAGTGTGGCTATTTGTAATTTAGCTCAAAAGTTTTTACCCAAAAGTCTAAAGAGGGAAGAAACACTGAACCTTCCAAGCAAGTATCGTCCATTTACCGCGAATTTATTCGTCTTCGTCCCTTTCCCGGGAAAAAAGAGAGAAAAGAAAGAGAAAAACATGAGTAAAAATATAAATCAAAATTCTTCACGGGTCTTGCGCCTGGTTTCAGGTGAGTGCTCTCTCTCTCTCTCTCTCTCTCTCTCTCTCTCTCTCTCTCTCTGCCTGTTTCTTTTTCTCTTGATCTTATATNATTATTATTATTATTATTATTATTATTATTATTATTATTATTATTATTATTATTATTATTATTATTATTATTATTATTATTATGTAGCTATTTGAACTCGGCTCGTGGCCATCCCTAATACTATATATAAAAGTGCTTACAGTATTAACTCTCATTTTATCTTATTAAATCTTATATTTATGCTATTTTTCACTAATAAATGCTACTAAACTGATCTATGTAAATATTTTTAACAATATAAATCCATATATTTTAGAACTCACTCAAAAACAAAATTATTATTTATCCAAGTGGTGGCTAAGCAATTCAACCATCTAAATAAAATTGATCAATATATGAAGTCATAGTTAGATAGTAAATTTTTTAAAATAAAAATAAGTATAAAAAATTACAAAAAAGTAGAAAAGTTAGACATACTTATGATGTTTTTATAAATCAAATTAAAAAGAAAATAAGTGTAATAAACAATAATTATTTTTATTGATAATGTAAATGAAATACATACTTTAAAACTAACCAAAAATGAAATTGTTTTACTATTTGGAAAAGGTCAATAATTCAACTTTTGGGTTAAATGTTTTAACATTTAATGCCATAAATAAATAATAAAAATTAATAAAATAAAAAAATAAAAAATAAAAAAATACATAAACTTTGCAAAAAAAGAAACATTCAGGCACATGTATAATATCATATAATTGTCATATTAAACAAAAAGTAAATAGGGCATATTAGAATTATTTTTACACACAGAAATACAAAAAAAAGTTATAGAAAAATTGAACACATTTATAATTCTATATTTACATTACTATTAAAAATATGAATAAGACTGTGAAAATTTCTTTTGACTAAAATACTCATTTTTTGATTTAGTACATATTTAATTGTGAGGTTTAAATTGTAAATTGAACACTTTTTACCTCATTCAAATCCCTCTATTTAAGTATTTATTGATAAATAAACAAAAAAAAAACACCAAAAAGATAAAACATTACAAAAAGTAGAATGTAGCCAAATAGGTAGGCCTGCCAATAATACTTGAAACCTTACAACTCAATCCGATTATCACATATTTGGATAAGGTGTTTATATAATTAAATTTAGACTTTGCATTCCACATGAGATTAATAATAAAAACAATATATACAAGTTTTTTAGATATATTATTATTTCCATTATCATCATCTAAAATTGTCATGTATAAAGCATGTGCATATTTACTAAAAAATTTAAAAAAGAAATAAAAACTTTTAAGAAATTTGTCCAAATCCGATCTATCCAACCTGAGCCCAATCCTGAATTGGGCTTGAGATAAAGTCAGATTTGGTGATATGTAGCCTTGTAAAACTGAATGCACACCAACACCCCATAGAACGTGGTGTACCCTACATCACATCCTAACCGTGTATAGAAACATCCTCATGAATAATAATATACAAATATAGGAAAATCAAAAATTTCGATTTGGTTTTTGGTTAAAATCAAATTTTAATAATATATATTCTATTCTATATATTATAACATATAATATATATTTTATATTATAAATGTATAATATATTATATATTATATATAATAATAAAATGTTCGATTAATTCAATTAATGGAATTTTTAATTCTAAAAATTAAAATAAAAAAATCAAATTAACAAAATCGATTTAAGCAAAAACAAAAAAAATTAAAATAAAAAGTCAAATTAACAAAATCGATTTAAGCAAAAACAAAAAAATTAAACCAAAAAAATCAAAACTAAAATTTTCTATTCGATTTTTCGATTTTAACCGAATAGTGCTCACCCTAGGAAATGTTACCGGTGTGCGATTACATGCTGTGAGAGGTTGGTTTGTAGGTTGTTGTAGGGCTGTTCATAAGAAGACCCAACCCGACCAACCCAAACCGACCCAACCCGAGTTGGCTGGGTTTTCTTCAATACTGGTTGGTTTCGGGTTGTAAAAAATTATAAACCGATGGTTCGGGTCAGTTTCGGTTTTCATGTGTGAAAATTGAAACCGACCCCAACCAAACCGACTTAGTAGTTAGTAGTTAGTAGTTAGTTCCTAGTTAATAATTACAACCTACTTAGTTCCTACTTAACTAAGTTGTCTCTATCCTAGTTACAATATAACTTAATTTTTAGTCTTCTAGTTAGGAATGACATTAATGGCCAGTATTGTAAGACAATTAGACAAGGAATTTTTTTGGAAAAGTTTAAAGAAAAGAATCAAAGGATCCTAGTTTCTATGGTCTTTTACACCAAATAGGCAACCAATTACAATTATAATTAAGTGTCATTTCTTCTTTCTTATTTAGATTAGAAGGTTTTTTGAAATATACAAATTTCAGGCTTCTTTCTCTAATACAGTTTGACTTTCTATTTTCTTGATAACTTCTATTCTTTGACTCTCAAGCATAGTTGAACTTAGAGTCAAAACCGACCTAAACTGACTCAATCCGACTCAAATCGAGCAGATTGGTTTTGCTTAACACAGAGTCGGTTTCGGTTTCAATTTTAGGTAATCCGACCAGATCAGGTTGATTGAAAAAATCTTAATAAACCGACCCAACCCGACCCGTGAACAGTCCTAGGTCGCTGTGTGAGTAGTAGATCCGATCTCCTAAAACAATGTATAAAAAGACTTTTATTGTATAAACCACGTGGAACGATGGAAGCAGCAGCAATAACGTTACCTGTTGAAATCCTGAATGGCAAGGACGCAACCTCAACAGCAACAAGCTATCGCAGCGGTACATTTTAGCCAGAGCCGGTACAGCATAAACATCTCTCCTTGTCTGCGATTTTCTGGTTCTCACTTGTCCACGTCGTGCATCACTTTCGCTTTACGAATACAAAAACAAGATCATACACTCTCTGACGATTTATCCACATGGCTATCCACAAATCTATTAACAATACCAATCTACTCGGGATCAAATGCGTTTGAAATCCACTTCATGAGACACGTTGAACTTCTTACGTCATTCAAACCTTTCACCGGATGACCGGCAAGAGTATTTTCTATTTTTAAATATGTATATATATTATTTTTTATTAACAAAAGAGAGAAAAGGAGAATTTCCATGAACCTACCTTGCTGTAGCTGATTCTCGAAGGCGAAGCTCTTCGAAACAATTGAACTGAAATAAGAAACAGAGAAAGCGACGAAGGAATCAACTAAGCTATATTCATGCAAGGAAGAAACATCATCAGTAAGAATATACTCAGTTGTTTATGGAGTTTCAGGGGTAAAAGTAGAAGTTTTGCACCAGCAGTAGAAAGGAAAACGATGAGAGGTCCTACTGTTAGTAGTTTTTCTTTTAATGCAAGTAGAACAAAGAACAATTGAGAAGAGAAGAAACTCAAGAATTACAACTAGATCGTCAACAACAAAAGCAGAGAAGTTTTTGCTTAATCAGAAGAAGAAAAGAAAGCTGATGGACTGTAGGCTTGACCATTCTCTGCTTCCACTCTCCGACTCTCGGCTTCAGTTTGCTAACGCCGGAACTAGTTTGTACTCCCTGCCGCGGCGCCGCCACGGTGGTCCGCAACACCACCTTCTCCCTTTTCTCCCTCCTCTACCACTCTCGCTGGTATCAGGTTTGGGTGTCGCAACTGGATCCCGACACCTCAGTCCCACTGTCACTGCATGCGCATCGTACCGAAGAAGTTCTTGGTTTCCCACGTGGATGGCGAGGTTAACGTGGCTTGCTTCGCAGAATCTAACAGAGAGGCTCAGTGTGACGTGGCAAGCGAGTGGATATAGGAGTGATTGTGTCACATGTTTCTGTGTCTCTTTTTTCCTCTTTCCGACCGTTGGAGGAACTTGAGCTTCTTCGGTCCTTCTACTTTTTGTCCATCTTGAGGTTTGAGCTCTCTCTCTCTCTCTCTCTCTCTCATGGCGTTCCAAGAGGGAGTGCACGGAAAGGAAATTGGTTCGCAGAGAGAGAACTCTGGTGTTACTGGAGAAAGATGCTCCGGTTCGTGCTCTTCAACGATGTCGTCGTCGGCAGCGGCGGCGGAGGGGGAAGAGGAGGCGACATTTTGGGGTAACGAGTCGAAATGCGAGGTGGATCGGATGGTGAAGATCGAGCTCGATGCGGCACGAGCTTTAGCGGATTTCGTTCAGTTAGCGCAGCTCGAGAGTGAAAACCCTAGTGGTGGATCGAGCGGGAAGTGGGGGAACAAAAGAAGGAGATCGAGGAAGCGAATCAAGAGTGAGTCTCCAGCGAGGGAGTTGGGGAAGGACTTGGAGAACGCTGATACTCAGATTTCCAAGGTGAGGTCTTTGGATCTTGTTCAGGTTTAATTGGTTTTTGTTTGTCCCGGGTCTTGTTTGTTCGTTTGGTTTGGCTGCTTTCGGTAGCTGTTTTAATTTATTAAATTTGCAGTCGGGAGAGGTTGAGTTGTATTGAAGTTTGAATTATCGGATTTGTTTGGTAGCTATGGATTTGCAGGTTTTGAATTTACTTAAGTGGTGGTTTTATGGTAACTAATGAGAGCTTTTGCTCTGGATACGATGTAAGAAGAGAAATATTGTAGTTGGAGAGGAAAAGAAGAGGGAATTGATCTGGTGTTTGGAATTAATTCCATTTACCTTTACCTTCTTCATTTTTCTGCTTTTTGTTTGGATAAAAATTGGAATTTCTTGATTCAAATCCATCTTTTATTGTATTGACACATGATTATTAGATGATTAATATTACTTTTCATTGTGGCCTTTCTTAATTGACTAAAGACTAATGTGTAATGGCTGGAACCCACAGCCACTTGACAAAACTGTAAAATGTAGGCAACCTGTAAACCAAAATCAGAAGATTTTTTTTTTTTTATAAGTAAAATCAGAAGAAATTCTTATGGAATATGTGAAGGAACTTAGTTACTTGAATTCCTTAGGAAGTGAGAGAAGGAGATGAAATGGAGCTGAGGTTCAGTTGGGAAGGAGTACAAATACAAATATGTAGAATGAAAAACCTTGTATTTTGTATTTGTATGTATTTGTTGTGCATATTTGTATTTGTATTTGTACTCTTTCCAAACTGAGCCTGAGGAAATAGAGAAAAGATAGAAGTGAGGAAAAAAGAAGCTTAATTTATAATTCAAAATTATCTGTAAGATATATTTTGAACTGGGACTAGCACCCTAACTACAGAAAACCGGTTCTTCGCCTCTCTGGTTATTTATTTGTTAATTTGTTTACACCTATTCAATGTGTTTTGGAGTTCACCTATGCCTTTCTGAGATCCGGGCATTAATGTCCATCCATGCTAAATTGATTACATAACCTTCAGATTTTGCTGTCTACATTTTGACTTGTTTCAATGACAATCTTTACGAAATTTGAAAACAGGTCAGAAAATTAAAAGCAGTGCAGTCGCTAGATTTGTTATCTTTTGTTTCTTGTGTATTTTAGAAGTAGTGCTCAACCTTTAAATAGGGAAATATGGTTGGACAAACAATAGAGCTTAGGAGGGCTGATGAGATTTATGAGTTGAGTGAAGGAGTTCAGTACAGTATGTTCTGAGTTTCTACTGAAATCAGACCAGGAGTGAGAGGGAAGTACACGTGGGTTTTGGGCAGTCAGCTAGGTTTTATGGACAGGAGCAAGAAAATTCACATGGAAAAGAAAATAAATGATGGAAAGAAAAATAGTACAGGAACCATTTCTGCTAGAGCTGCTCTAGTCTTGAGCAAGTAAAACTGTACACTGAAATTGAACTATGCATGTATACTTAATAGTGCAGAAACTTTGGAAAATAAGTAAGAAAATCCTTTATTAGGTTGTTAAGGAACCTATGCATGGGCAAGAAAAGAGAAATACTTTTGGGTGGGGAGGGGTTGTTCATTGTTGGGCAATAACCTTTTACTTTCTAAATCTTATCCAAATAAATAAAGAAATAAGTAAAAAGAAAAAAGAAAGAAAATCTATTAGCCCAGTAACAGCGCTTTTTCCCAAAGAGAACAAACTAAAAGAAACAGATACATGATGTCAAATAAAGAAATTTAAATTAGTAAATGAAGTATAATCCTAAGGTTTTCTTTTTTAGGTTTCTAAATGCTCAGGGAGATTACTTTCTTTAGTGCCTGATTCCATTATATTGAGTCCATGCGCTGCAACACTAGGTTGTGCTAAACAGCCAGAGGAAAAATAGGAGTCTAGATTTTGATATTTTATAGCTATCTATCAATGGAGATAATAATTTGTACAAGTATATCAATTATCTTCTATGTAGCTCACCAACTATTTATGCCTAAATTTTGACATACCTCTTAGTTTGTGTAGATTTAAGATCATTTTTCTTTAAAGCAGGAGGATGCAATGATAGATCAGAGGCAACATAAAAATCTGTGCAATAATGTGATGATAAAAACAGTGAAGGTTGAACCAGATTCTGAATTACATAGATCAAGTGCTATACACCCCACAGGTTGTGCATCAGTTGTTAGAGGCAGGTCAAGGCAAAATTTGACTGAGGTACTGGGAATTTCTAAATCTCACATCTGAAACTGTCTGAGTTTCCAAAATTCCAGCTGAAGATGGTCCCATGCAGGCTGAGAAGGAAGCACGCAGATTACGTAGAATATTAGCCAATAGAGAATCCGCAAGGCAGACAATTCGCCGTAGGCAGGTTGATATGTTCTTTTATAAAATTTTCTGTCATGTCTAAGAATTCTGATTTCGCATGTTGGTATTACTTCTTTTCTTTTAACAAATAAGATATTGTTTTATTATTTGTAGGATGAAATTGTTCCCGTGTACAAGAACTTTATTTTCGTCAGCATATTAACATGATTGTCTATATAAAGAACATTTATACATACGATAGTTTGATGAGAATGTAGAGAAATTAATCCCTTTGAAGTCTTTCAAGGATGGAAGATCTAAAAAGCTAGGATGTTGTTCACCCAGTAATATACATGATTGTCTTAACATGATAGAACATGCCTTTTCTGAAAAGAGTTGACTCCTGTTTGAACATGTATAGCAGGGCACTCTTACACCATATTGAACACATGACAACATGCAATTTTATTTCTTTTCGTATTTGCTATTTTGAAATGCACTATTTTTTTTAGTGTAACTTCTTATCCTATTTCTATTTCTGTTTCAGATGGTGCAAATGGGTTCTTTTAGTGTTGAGTATGTCAGCCTAACTTTGGTATCCATGCTACGAAGTATAATTGTGTAGAAATATATTTTCCAGAATTGATACTACTTTTACCATGTATGTGCATTTGCTTGTTCATAAAGGAAAACTATTTATTTCTTTGTCTGTCTTTTCTTTTCTTTTCCTGTCCATGAACAATTGATGGTTTTGTATGAATTCTCATAAAGATATAAAAGGTCCACTACCCAATTCTGGTCTCTAAAATCCAGGGTCTTGGGAAGGGTAGACTGGGTAGGGACCTGTAACAGCTGGAATTTTTAGCATGAAGTGACCTCTAAAGTTCGTGAGATACTGCTTGGTCATCTAAGGGTATATAGGACAAAAGAAATATCACACATAATGCTACTAAAATTTTTAAATTGCAGAATGAGAAATCTCATGAAAAACTGGATTAGCAGCTCTTGAATGCTCTTACTCGTAGTTTCCCTTAAGATGAGTCAATTTCAGAAACTTGACCTGAAAGAAAATCATTTCCCTCAACCACTCCATAAAATTGTGCTTTATTTAATGTTATTAACTAAAGAACCAGACAAGTTTTTTGAAAAACAGTATCAATAGAAAAAGTTTTCTTAGAGACAGTGTTATGCAGGAACAGTGATAGATTGGAGGAATATATCATCTTATCTTCCGAAGTATCTGCTAACTAAATTAATAGATTGTTCAGTGCATCTGATATAATTTAGTCTACATTGGGAAAGTCCACTTCTACATAGAAGTGGGACACATCAAGAAGTTTATGTTTGTAACTTTGAATGTGCAAATAATGGTATAGATTAATTATTATACGAGATGCACTGAACAATCTATTAATTCAAATATTATAAAATGAAATTGTGAGTCCGAATTCTTGAAGAAATTGAAATATTATTGTATGGGGCAGACACTGAACAATCTGTTTATTCTACTCTATTGTTTGTTCTCTATGAAATTCCATTATTGGGGTCAAGTGTAATTGGATTCTGGGATGGATGTTGATCTTCTCCTTATGATCCTCATGCCTCAGGCTATGTGCCAGGAGTTGACAAGAAAAGCTGCTGATCTAGCATGGGCCAATGAGAATATGAAGCGGGTACGTGGTTCTGTTTCTGTAGAATCTGGTGTTTGTTTATCAGAAGCTAACTCTTTGTTTTATGAGCTTAGAAAAAAAAATAATAAATGGGAACAAAGTAGAAATATTTCTATTTTCGGCAACAAGTTTTTAGAGCTCTGCTCTACCCACTTTTCTCAATCCATATTGTCCTTGAATTCCTTTCCTAGGTTAACGTCACCACCGTTTACTGAAACCCATTGACATTTTTGTGACACTTTTACTGAGAGAAGGAAAAGGAGTTGGTCATGAAAGAGTATAAGTTGCTGAAAGACAGAAATGAACACCTTAAAGCTCAGGTAAGGCTTCCATCTGCTGCTTTATGTAAGGTCTATGCATTCTAATATTTCTTATAGTTGACCCCTCCTATCCTGTAGATGGCCAAGACTGTAAAGGCTGAGGTGGAGGGAACTCCAGAAAAAACTGCATCAACAAATGTTGAGATATCAGCACCTTCCTCTTCAAAGCTCCCATTGCTTTTGTACAATGGACCCCCTTTTCCACCCTTTATCTGGCCTGCCATCATTCAACCATTAAATCCTATCCAAATGCAATCCGCTCATGCTACTTTTTTGCCGGATCAGGTGCATTTAAACTCCGATCTCAGTTCATCAAGCGAACAAGGAACCTCCCAATTTCTTAATGGGCCAAGAACCCCCTTTTACATCTTACCATGTCCATGGTTCTTCCCTCTTCCAGAACATAGGAACCATCTCCAGCCTCACCCCATTAAATTATTTGGCTCAAAGGATGAACAGGATAACGCTTCTATCCATGCCCAACATGATAGAGAATCTTTGAAAGAATTGGAAAATGTAGATAACCATGACCTATCTCTAAATACAAGTGCCAAAATAGATGCTTCAAGTTCAATGGAAGCCATCCCAGCTAATAATAATCCTTCTAAAACTTCAACTGGATTCCCGACAGATGCAGGCCAGACTTCGGGGTCTCATCCACAGGGGATGCCATTGATGCCTTCACCTGTAAGTTGTGTCCAGCATGCTTCCACTGTCAAGTGTGAGAATGAGTTCCAACCAGATTCTACTTCTGCAGAAGAAACTGCTTCCTTCACAGCCAGTCATGTAGGAATCTCTTTACCAGAAAGGATGTTTGCACCCAGCATGCACCTGAGTAAGAAACTGGTGGATGCAGCTGAAGCTAGAAAGAGGAGGAAAGAACTCACAAAGCTAAAGAACCTCCATAATAAGCAATTACGGTTACACTGTTGAGTGGTGAAATTGGATTAACCCCAAATGTTCCTCTTTGTTGTTTGACTGTGATAAGCATCTAGTTCTGACGTAACTTACAAATTGATTCTAGTGCATAATGGTTTCACTAGAATTTTAAGAGGTTGTCGAAGGAAACAACCACCCAGTTGTAGTTATTTCTGGATCTTAAGGATTAAAGCTGTTTTGGAGCCGCTAGAGATTTTCTTTCTTGAATATGGCTGCATTAGACAATTTTTGCAAAATTTGGTTGGGGGAGCAGGGTTGGGATATTAATATTTTATAGGCAGAGAGGTTGCAGAGCCAAATTTATTGATAAAGAGAATTTGAAATTCTCGGGGGGATCCCTGAATTTGCCTGGCCCAGTCGTGGGCCTCGTGGCCATTTTTACACGCAAATCTGTTCTTTTTTTTTTGAGAAAAAAAAAACATATATGTAAAATGTATTATAGGTGTGGTATTATAATATTTATATAAAATATAACCATAATATAAAATAACATATTCTCCTTTTGAACTATTCCACAAAAATCTTCCGATTCTTCTTTATGGTAAAGCATTTTGGAGGCCCGAGAGGACCTATTGACAGGCACGAGAGTGATTATCATTCATGGGTAGAAGATTCACCTCTATGGCGATCCATGGCAATGTTCAAAATATCGATACATCCGATATGGGTGTATTGGGTGAATTGATACAGCTTTCGTTGTGTTGTACATCGGGCTGATTTAGGGCTCTTCCACCCCCTGAACCGGTCAGACTCCTGATACACCCACTGTTAGGGGTATATCGGAGGGGTTCTGGAATGATATGTATCGGCCCATATCGGCCGATATGTGTCGATACTTTGAACCTTGATTCATGGTTAACCACTATTTTATCTCTACCCGATGCACAACACAACGAAAGTTGCCTCGTTAATCGACTTTCAGCAGAGCCAATGGAAGACTGATATGGTCATGTCCAATTTCGACACCAATATTGCTGAAAAAAATTCTCCACACTGAACTTCCGGTTTACTTGTGCATCATCAATGAAGTTATTACAAAGTGAGTATGCTGAATCTTCTTCTGTGCATAATGCTCTTCCTGGGCTTACTTGGTGCCAATTGAGAGAAGCCTAAAGGAGTGGTTGTCTCTATATGGTGGAATTAATATGGCACTCAACATTTAGATGACATTTCTTTGTTTAGTAAATGCTCAGTTCTCTTGTGGCACATGGGGAAAGGAAGGTGTAAGAAAGTAATGGAGAACATTGACATCCTCCCAATTGCAATTATAAAGGACGCTCACTCAGAGATTGATGAATTGGTCACACTTAAATGTCAACAGACTACAATCCTTGCACTTCAGTCATCTACAAGTCGGCCTTTACAGTTACACTGGAGGATACCTGTATCATCCCCATTTGTTAAAATTAATGTGGATGGTGCTCACATGATCACATTTCTCTTGCATCGGAACTGGGTATTGTGCTCACAGATCATCATGGATCTTTCTTATTTGGTCGAGTCATTCATGCTAAGGATCTTCAACTGACTCATATCCATCTAGAAGGAGACGCACAGAAACTTACAATGATCCTGTTGGACATTCACTTGGATGTCCCATGGTGGTTACACATGATTGGAGTCATCTTCTGCGCACTTTTCCACATTCTATTGTCTCCTATACTCTTCATACAGGTAACAAGGTTGCCCATTTGTTGGCAAAATTTGGTTGAAAATCTACTGGAACCACTTCGTGGTCCATTACTCCAGAATTCCTTCAACCTGTAATGAATGCTGACATGGTGCAATGAATGATTTTGCCTAAGGACTTAGAAAATAAAATAACATATTCTATTTCTACACATTTATTGGGGTGGGGTTTTTTTTTGGGAAAATTTCACTTTAGTACCCTGAACTTATGGGTACTGCAGTGACATGTTTGAAAGTGTCAAGTTGGTCCCTGCCGCCAGTCTCAAGGTAGAAGACAATGAACAGTGTCTTCTTTTAAAGGGTATTTGACATTTTCAACAGATAACTGATGGTCAGTTAACTGCAAGAACCAACTTGTCACTTTTTGAAAATTTAGGTACTATGGTGACACGTTTGAAAGTTCAAGTACTAATTTGACAGTAACCCCAAAGTTCAAGGTACTAAAGTGAAAATTTCCCTTTTTTTTGGGTATTCAATTTATTAGGGTGGGTTCAAGACTAGGTTTAGGGCAGGCTGGTATTTTCGTCCCCTATACCTAGAGTTTCAGGTTTTAAGCCCCAAACCCGATTTAACAGTCAAAAATCCTGCCCCAACTGGGGTAGGGAGGGTCAGATTGTCATTTCCAGCATATGAATGCACACGCATTCAGGTAGGGGTGTCAATTGGACTGGATTTGATCCAATCCAATGTGAATCCATTACAAATGTACCTGGTCTAATCCAGTCCAATGAATATTTTGGACTGGTCCAGTTCAATGTCAGGACCATCTAATCTATTCAAATTTATGTTAATTTAGATTGTTTCCAATTCAAACCTGGTCCATTGACACCTTTGTTCTTATCTTCTATCAATGGACCAGATATTGGCTCAACCCAACATAAATTTATTATGGATGACCAGGTCCAATACAATGTCTCATTGGTCATTCAATCCATCCAAATGCTGAAATGCAATATGTCTTATTGGTCTGTCCAATCCACCCAAATTGATTTTGATTTGGATGGAGTCCAACCAAAAACCGGTCCATTGACGCCCTTACATCCAGAGTTTATAAATATATAGGGTAACATATAAATATAACAGATTCTTGAAAATAATATTTCACCAAAGAAGAAAGACCGGAAGAGGTTCAAAGGGTGAAAGGGGTAAAGCTATGATGCAAGAAAGGTTTTCAACTAGTCTAACCTATTAAGAGTAACTAGCTTTTTAAAAAATCGAACATGGGCAACTATTTCATATTTTCAAATTGATATATTACCATATAGGTTCGAGGAACACTAATCCATAGCTAACACAACCATGATATGTTTCAGTGTTCATTCTCATTCTATTTCCAACATGAAACAGACATAATAGTAACAAATGGCAGGCTGCATCTGAATGTGATGTGGAACAAGCTCTAATACCCAACGAGACAGAAACACCCCTTTCAAGGGTAACACCAGAACCATCGAATCCTCTCAACTGGACTCAGTTTTCTCCAAAGCTGCAATGCAAAAACAACCGTCAGCAGTAATTTTACAGTAACAACCCAATATTTGTAGATATAGGAGAGAGAGATTACTGTTGTAGTTAAGTAATTTCTCGATAAGGTCAACATGAGTCATTAGCATTCTTCTGCAGCAGTACCGTACCAATCCCAATGCATCGAGGGCATCTCTGCATACCGGCAATAAGGTTAATTAAAAATACCCCACCTGTACGTTGGAGCTAGGAATTCTGAGTGGATTGAACAGTAAAAACCCCTAGCGAGGCTCAATCGGAAACTAAACAATATGTTTAGACAGTTGATAAAGAAAATTAGATGACACTCGAAGTGCATTTGTGTCTTTAAAAAATGTCACTTCAGCTGATTAACAAAAGGTACTGGATTGTCACATTTTGAAAGTTCGGATCCTGAATTGTCGCATTTTAAAGTTTGGGGACCAAAGTATAAACCCTTAATTTAATGTTTTCTTTCTTTTTTCTTTCTTGCTTGCAATGAGGGTTTTATTTGATTAGGGTTTAGAAGCAATGTAGGTTCAAAAGAGACAATGTGCTTTGCCCTGCCATAGATAGGGCAATAATCGGAACAAATTCGAATCAGATGTACCTCCATCTGAGTTCGATCTGATTAAAGACATCTAACATCCAAATCTGATCTGATCTATGAAATGATGGATCTAATTCGACTACATCGGATCAGTTGGATTATCTGACATCATGTGAATCTAATTAATATATTGAAGTCTCATCTCCAATATGGTGTGCTGTGGCACAGAGACCATAATCAATGAAGGCAACAGTGAAGAGTGAACTATCTTGTTCTTTGACGATCCTCCAATAGATTAGTCCCCGTTGTTGGACATTCAAGTGAGATATGGATCAGTCCCCGTTGAATTTCATTTGTGGAAGCAGAACTTCATGAAGAAACCACAAGTACAGCTCTCAACAATATTGATCAAGCAAAAACGAAAGAATCTTCAATTGTAACACATGCAACCTAGACCTTTGGTCGACTTTGATTTTGGTGTCTACTGCCTAAACCTTTTTGTTTTGGGAAATTTATGGTTTACTCACAAATTTTTATTGGTTTTCTCAAGTATTGTCTGATACCCCCACCTATGCTAACATTACCTCTCCTTGTTTATGATCGATTCCCCCACCTGTCACTGTTCCCAACTGTACAAACTTATAAAAACTCCTTTTTTTAGGTTCAAGTCTCTCAACTCTTCAGTTGTAAAAAGACAAAAGATAATAGGTTATTGGGTTATTTGCCAATGGCATTAAAACTCCTAACAATTAATAGAAAGAACTTTAGAAGGAATGGGAACAGCTAGTTAGAAGGGAAGAAATTTACTAGAGATAAAGATCAAGAGTGAGATGGTTGAAAGGAGACAATAACTCCAGATTTTTTCACACTTATGCTTCGGGAAGGAGTAGGAAGAACTTTTATCTCTAAGCTGAATCTGAATCAGAGGGAAGTGGAGAATCCTGAGGAAATTTTGGAAGCTTTCCTTTCCTTTTTAAAAAACCTCTACTCCAAGGATAGTGAAAACCAGTTTACATAAAACAATTGGGAAGGCACAAGCCTATCGACTGAAAAGAGGGATTGGTTGGAAAGAAGCTTTGATGAGGAAGAAGTTAAAAAGACTATCTTTAGCATGGATGGAGATAGGGCTCTAGGGCCGGATGGCTTCCTTATTCTTCTCTTCCAAAAGTGTTGGGAAATTGTAAAGTCAGATCTTATGGATTTTTTCAGGGATTTCCACAAATTGTGGACAGCATTCTTATTGCAAACGAGTGTGGAAGACAGAAAATCTTCTAGTATCCCGGAGGTCCTCATGAAACTTGATCTGGAAAAGGCATATGATAAAGTGGATTAGGACTGTATTCTTGATTGCTTAAGGCTAAGAGGCTTTGGTAGAAAATGGATCGGGTGGATTAAAGGTTGTACTGGTTCTCCTTCATTTTCAGTACTGATAAATGGTGAAGCGAAAGGTTATTTCGACGCTAGTAGGGGTCTAAGACAAAGTTGCCCTCTTTCCCCCTTACTATTCACTTTGGTGATGGATGCATTTAATTATCTTTTTGATAAGTCCATTCTTCTCAACTTGGTGAAAGGATTTGAAGTGGGCAGGGATAAGATTCACATCTCACACTTACAGTTCGCCAATGACATAATCCTGTTCTTGGATGCCTCCACAACCAACATCACAAACACTAAAATGGCAATCGAATGTTTTGAGCTTATCACTAGTTTGAGGGTTAATTTTTGCAAAAGTAGTATTGTAGCTTTTAATTCAATGGAAATGGAACTTCTAGAAAATTTCAAATCTTTGTTGGGTGCAAAGAGGGGAACCACCCTATTTCCTACCTTAGGATGCCTCTTGGAGGAAATCCAAAATCCCTCAACTTCTAAAGACCAGTGGTGGAGAAATGTGAGAAGAAACTATCAACTTGGAAAAAGTGTTATCTCTCAAAAGGGGGTAGGCTTACTTTCTTAAAGGCCTCCTTATCAAATTTGCCAGTCTACTTTCTTAAAGTCAGAAATCAGATTGAGAAGCTTCAAAGGAACTTTCTTTGGGAAGGTGGTGGGAAAAAGAGAAGCCATTTAGTTAGCTGGAAACAAGTATGAAGGCCTAAAGAGGAAGGTGGTTTTCCTCTCTTAGGCAAATGGCTTTGGAGATTTTTGAAAGAACCCAATGCTCTTTGGACAACTGTCATCTCAAGCATATACGGACTAAATGCAAACGAGTGGGATTGCAATCTCCATTTGAATAGGATAAAGTCCACAAATCCTTGGAAAGGTATTTGTTCCATTCATACTTCTTTCTTTCCTTTTATAAGTTATAAAGTGGGAAATTGTTGTAAAATTAAATTCTGGAAAGATCTTTGGTAGGGGGATTCCTAGGCTTTTTAACCTTTCCCTCGACCAAGAAGCCACTATTTCTTCCTGCCTTCCAAACCAAACTGCCRAGAACTCCTTAARCCTCCACCTYAGAARACCCCTAAGGGACTCAGAGATTTCTGATTTAATAGCCCTAATTCAGACCCTCAAAGAAGCCTACATCTCCCCCTCTTATTCTGACACCCGAATCTGGACCCTACACCCAAATGGCGAATTCTCTTCTAAGTCTATGTTCAGGGCTTTGATCGCTGATGAACAGCATTCCTCCTTTCCTTATAAGAAAATCTGGTGTAGCCACATCCCTTCAAGAATTTGCTTCTTTGTTTGGGAAGCTTGTCTCCAAAAAGTAAATACTTGCGATGTCCTGTAAAAAAAGCTTTTGGGAAGACACTCCATATCTCCTCATGTTTGTATTCCATGCCTCAACGAAGGTGAATTTGCAGATCACATCCATTTTCACTACAGGTTCACCCAAAAGATAGGGGTAAAGTCTTTTGGCAATCAGTGCTACATGCAGTGTTGCGGGGTGTTTGGGATGAAAGAAACAATCGTCTCTTTGACAATAAAAGCAGAACCCTGGAGGAATTAATCTCAGATATTACTTACCTTGGATAGTGCCTTAGGAACCCTGGATTAGCTGGTATTGGAGGTACAGTAAGGGACGAAAGGGGCAATATATGCTGGACTTTTAGTGGTCCAATTGGCTTGGCTAACTACACAAAGGCTGAAGTGATGACTGCTCTCACCGAAATCAGGATAATAAAAAATTTGGGAATTCAGAATTTGATCATTGCAGGTGATTCAACAAATACAATAAAATGGTTAAGAGACAAAGAGGAGGGTCCCTGGAGACTGAATCATTATTTGACAGAGGCTTGGGATTCTTTGGACTATTTAAATGTTAACTTAGTTTGGATTCCTAGGGAACAAAATCATAATGCAGATGGCCTAGCTAAATTTGGTGTGTATTTGGAGCATTTGTATAGCAACAAGCTTCCTCCTCTGTAACTTGTAGGGGTTCTTCCCCTGCTTTGTATATCTTCCCATGTTCCCTCTCTTCATCTTAATGAATTCTGGTTAAATTTTCTCAAAAAAAAAAAACATATTTATATTATATATAAAAAATTGCTAATATATAAGTTGGACTTTATCAGATTGGATTGGGGTACATCCGAATTCAATCCAATTATTAATCAGATGCTATTTGCCCTATACAAATCTGATCTGTTAAAGTCAATGTTTTAAAAGGTGTGGGAGGCATGTCTGGAGGAACACCTCTAGGCAAGGTGTCTCTAAAACGCCCTGAGGTGTATGCTAGAGGCGTTGATACCTCTAAGGTGTATGCCTTAGGTACAACAGGCGTACACCTCATATGCCTTTTTCATTAGCCGTGCTAGAGGTGTACGCCGCATGCACACCTCGCAAAAAGACAGAATAATGAGACCCTCCTTCCTCATTTAGCTAGTGTTATACATCTTTGTTCTTCTTACTATAAACAATTTTTATTAAAATTAAAAAAAAAAAGGTCCTCCTTCCTTCCTCCTCATCCCCTTCCTCTTAAGGAGACGTAACTTCTTAATATAAAAGATTTTTATTAAAAATTAAAAAAAAAGATCCTTCAAAAGATCTTTATTAAAAATAAAAAAAATATCCTTCAAAAGATTTTTATTAAAAATTTAAAAAAAATCCTCCTTATTCTTCTTCCTCCTCCCCCTTCCACCTCCTTCCTCCTCACTCCCTTCCCCTTAAGGAGGCTTATGCCTGGTGTTCGGGAGACTTACACTTCTTATGTTCTGAACTACACCTCACACCTCTAGGTAGTTGAATGCCTCACATCACGCTTCCATGTTTTAAAACATTGGTTAATGAAAATATTTCATTCAAGTCCAAATTAATTGGATCGGATTTCAGATCAGACCACAGATTTTCAAAGTCCCTTGACAGCCCTACTTGTAGATATAGGATCTTGCTTTAGTCTTCTTACTACCGAGACAAGTGGGATATGACTGACTAAACAACAAAAACAAAATTCTGCATAGTTCACTATATCCAATCAAAAGTCAAAAGGCATAGAAGCTTGGCAAGGTGGTCAACGGTTCTAAGTCTGCTGCAAACAGGTCTTACTTAGAACTGATGAAACATAATTTTTTCTAGATGGTGGGCATAGTACACGTCTCATACTTGTTTCATATTCTGACATTCAAAAGCTTCTAGTGAAAAAAAAAAAAACATCTCAATTTCCTTAGGTACAAGTTAGCATAATACACTGCCTTATGGATTCTAAAATAGAAAGTTCATAATGATACATGACATTGCTGCATTTATCCATGTGATGGAGAGCAAGTTTGACAGCTGATACTGATGCGAGGTGTATGAAATAGGGATAAAAGTTCTAGTGTGTGTGTGTGTGTGCGCGCGTGTGTGTGTATGTATGAAAATTCTGGGACAAGGTTCAAAGTATCGAAACGTATTGGTGTGTATTGGCTGATAATATTGTATCGGAGACCCCCCGATACACCCCCACAGTTGGTGTTTTGGGGTCTGACCTGGTTCAGGGGGTAGACAGGCCTTAAACCCAATCCCCTTGTTGTGTGTGTGTGTGCATTCATACATACATTAAGAGCCCAAGAAAAGTTTCAATGTCTTGAAAGAAAATCAAGTTCTTATATCTAGCTTGTCTCTTTCACATTTCTTTTCTATTTCCTTCTTATGTTCCTTTTTCATCTCTACTCCTACGCTTCTACTATTTTTTCCCTATCCAAAATTGATTCTAATATTACTTTTCCTCTTTATATATTTTTCTATGACTACCTCTTAAAGTGGAACAAATTCTATAGTTTTACTCAACACTAAAACTAAAATATGAACAGGTCTACTAATAAGCCCTTTTACAGAAGGAAACTAGCAAGTTAATGCACTCAACAACAATACATCCATAAGTTCTTCATCACAAATTTAATTTCTCATGGCTGACGCATGAACCCAGCAGAAACAAAATTCTCAAAACGGAGTCTCCTTGTCCGATGAATGTTTCCACCTTTATTTATAAACCATGTAACTGTACTAATAAAGCATCCCACTTTGTAATCCAAAACATTGTTTCTGTTGTTTGCAACTTGTAAATTATTAAGTTTAGGCGTTTCCCTTTCTCCGAATATACCGCTACATCTAGATTAAACATGACAGAAATGAAGTTATTTAGCACGGCAACAAGTACAGATTTTGCAAGCCATTGCAACCATTTTTTTTTATTTTTTTTATGTTTTAAGGACAAATCTCAGAGTTCTCAAGTAAGTGCCAAGTAAAAATGAGTAATTCAATCCCAACTATCCTACTCAGGAAGAAAATGAGGGCTACTGCCAAGAAGGATACAACAGCTTCTAAATAACACAAAGCACATACCATTTTTAACTTTTAAAATCCACAAATGTAAACATAGTTTCCTCACCCTTCGGTGTAGTCGGCCTGGAGAAGATCAAGATACGTATCCCACTTGTTGCCGATTACCTAAACAAAACCGAAGAGATGATTGTAAAATCTAGGTGCGATTCCAAAGGCGAAACTCGAGGAGAAGAATCAGCAGTATAACTTACTCTATTACAAAAGGAACTAAAACGAAAAACCAGATGAGAGAACAAAAGAGGGAGAAAGAAAAAAATAAATAAATAAATAAACCGAAAAACAAAAATCGCAGCTTAAATCAAAAGGCTCAGAAACCCTAGGACATTAGTTGATAGATAAAGACAAGTTACCTTTCCACAGGTGAAGCAGCGAACAGGAATGATCATCTTTCCTCTTGCCCTAGTTTTCGCGCGCTCGAGTCTCTATCTCTCTTCTAAGTTCTCCCAGTCGGACTTTGGAGGATTTATATCAAACCGCAAACGAACGAACCGGCGCTCTTTCTTGAGAATTGAGTCAAATGTTATGACGATGTAGCATGGGCCAGTTTATTTCTAAATTCTTAACGGACATGGGTCGATTTATTGAGGTTTTTCCAACCGACCCGACCTGGTCGGGTTACCTGAATTTGAAATCGAAACCGACCTAGTGTTAAGCAAAACTGACCTAATCGGTTTGAGTCGGGTTGGGTCGGTTTCGGTTCTAAGTTCAACCATGCTTGATAGAAACTCAACTGCAATATATATGTGGGGACTGTGGCACCACAATATGTGAGGTAGTGAACGCGGGAAAAGCCTTGTTTTTGATAAACAGGATATACCTCTAGTCCACAGTTTGGACTTTGGAGAGGAGAAGAAGAGCAAAACCCATATATAATAATAATGCCTATTATAGAGATATATATGTTATATATCTTTTCAGTAATTAAGTTTTATCTCCAAAACCACCAACMTATCCCTTTGATTATATATTCATTTTGAAGTTTAATTGTCTTAATTGGGATTTGAGTGAATTATGTAGGGAGATTTCAGGACAGTTAATTACAATCATTAATCTAGCCAATGTAATAGATTTGAAGAGGGACAATTAGTTATGGGGGCTTAATTAATTTAAACTTCATAAAGGGACAATTAGTCGGTTCGGTTCGGGTTGATTTCAGTTTTCACACAAGAAAACCGAAAATCGACCCGAACCATCGGTTTATGATGTTTTACGATCCGAAACCAACCCATGCTGAAGATAACCTGACTGACTCGGGTTGGGTCTATCTGGGTTGGTCGGTTTGGTCGGGTTGGGCCTTCTTATGAACAACCCTAGACATTAGATGGTCGTGAAAAGACAAAAATACCCTTCAAATTTTAAATAGGCAAAAATTATAGAGAAAAACGGTTCAACCCAGTGTCAGAATTTTTATATTCAAAGTACAGTTGGCATCGGTGCCAGCTCGAAATTGATGCCAATTTACGGGTGGGCATTGATGAATAAAATGGGGGGTTTTGACATTTTGAATGTTTATAGTTTTGTAGTGGAAATCAGAAATCTACATTGGGCTGTTCGTACTTTTCCAAAAATTACTAAACCTTGAAGTCTTAGAACTAGGGGTGTTCACAGGTCGGGTTGGATTGGTTTATTGGGGTTTTCCCAACCAACCCGACTTGGTCGGGTTACCTGAGGTGGAAACTGACCAAACCGACTTGGTCAGTTTGGTCAGGTTGGGCATTCTTATGAACAGCCCTACTTAGAACAATCTTCTAAGAGTATTTACATTTAGGTCCAAAGATGCAAAACTGTAAATAGAATTTAGGCATATTTTTTAGGGGTGCAAATGGATCCGAAGTCCGATCCCATTTGTTAGATTTTGATATCCTCATTTTGGATCTTCGATCAAATAATATGATTCGATTAGTAATTGGATCGAATTTGGGTCACCCCCTATTCGATCCAAGCACATATATATGCTATTTATTTATTTATAAATATATTATTTATACTGTATTTTTGTAAATTTATTATATTATTTGTTTTTTATAAAAAAACATGTATATATAAAAAATAATTAAAAAGGTATTTGTATTTTTTTATTTAAAATGTTATATTTTATTTTTTAATATTGATGAAGGGAAATTTGGCCCGACCTCGTAACAGGGAGATGCGTGGACGTGACTTGGCATAAGTGACAACTCAACATGATCAGATCGGCACATGGATGTGACTCGACACAAGTGACAGATCAGTTCGCTACAAAGCAACATCGGGTACCCTGATACCCCCGAACTGAAGTCACCCTGGTATCGGATCGCGACCAAGATAACAATATCAAGTCCGCTACAGATCGAACCCGGACAGATGGACCACCTCGGTCAAGACTACCTCGGAACGAGTATACCTCAGCGCGAGGACACACCAGAACCACCTCGGTCCCAAGGCACTTTGGCATTCATATCAAGTCATATATGAAGAACACGAGCTCAGGCAGCTTGCCACTAGTTAGCTCGCCACCAGGCAGACCGGTACCTTACATGCAGCTCACCTCCCATTCAGGCCGACTTCCGCGTTACAACCCCGAGGAGCTCACCACCGCACTCTGCATTTTACGGGATTATGACTTGTAACGGTTATATTAGATTACATACTCCCCGATTCAGACGGGAGTGGGCAATCTTACCGGTTGATGGCATTTTACCCACCTAACACGCAAACGGATCCCATCACAGCGAGGATCCAAGAACTACTCCACCAACCCGCGAGGACTCCAGTATATAAAGACTTCACCCCCCCAGGGGCGAAGGTATGTTTTTTATATGTGTGTATGCGTAATCTTTGCTTTCTAACTCACTGATATCATCTTCAAGCTCTCTACTACTACTACTGAGTGCTAACTTAGCCATCGGAGTATCCCGCCGGGTAAGCCATCCCAAGATCTCTAACTCATCTCTTACAGGTTACCCAGTCCCTGCTGTTGCTAGCAGCCAGATCGTCTTCAGCAGGGAGCAGCCGGATTACGCCACATCAAATATTTTATTAAATTTATCCAAATATCCTACTTTCTCATCGGATTTGAATTCAAATCCATAGAGAGACTGAGATCTGATATGAAGATCTGCCCTCCATAGTATCGGATGGGATTCAGATATACCATGATTTGAATCCAGTCTCATCCGTTTGCATCCCTAAATTATTTTTTCTCTTTGCATTACAGTTAACGTTTTCCTGGTTTGATAGACCCTTCCTTGGTTTCCAATCATTGACGCAATGGAATCCTAGCTGAGATCTACAAGGTTGAACGTTGAATAGGCTACAGAATGGGTAGATTCAGTTGATTAGGTTTTGCCTAGAAATCCATAGATAGACCCTCTTCCAAGCTAAATGGCATTTGCTTTCTTTGGTATCCAATGCATTACCTGTCTATCACGGGGTTTGATTCGGTGGAGCTTTGGTGTTTCAGCCAAGGTTCAAAATATCGATATATGTCGATATGTCAGTTGGGGCGTATTTGCCTATATATTGGCTCCCTTTTTATTTCTTTAGTTTTTAAGTTTTCAAATTGGTAGAAAGGGGTTTGATTTAAGGCCTGTTTACCCTTTCAACGAGGTCAGATCCCAAAACAGTCCTTGTAAGGGTGTATCGAGAGGCCACCAATATGATACATATAGGCCAATACGATCCAATATGTATTGAAATTTTGAACCTTAGTTTCAGCCAGTTCTATTTTATGCTTGATAGTTTCTCAACTACAGAAATACTTTTGACGAAGATGAATGAGACTTCTATGAAATCCTTGGTGTTCCTAAAGATGCTAGCCAAGATGACAACAAGAAAGCTTTCATGTGCTGGTCAAAAAATACCATCTAGATGCAAATAAGAACAATCCTTCAGTAAAGAGAAAGTTACAAGAAATAAGAGATGCTTACGAGACTTTACAAGTAAGGCTGCAACTTAGGTGGGGTTGGGTCGAGTTGATGTTCAATTTAGGGTTGAAATTTATGAATCCAACTTTATTTTGGGTTGGGTTAGAGTTGACCCCTTGGGCAATCCGACCCAACCCGAACCCGATTCTATAGTTATCATATAAATATATGTTATATATATGATATCATACATTGATTTGTCTAGATGCATGATAGTTGTATAGCTCCTACCACATACCATCATTTATTTCTTTTAAGATAATCACTTTACTTAATTGAAAATACAAAAACCTTAATAACATTTTTTTATGCTTTTTTGAATCATTTATTCTTAATCTCCTCTTTGTTGTTTGCCACCCATAGCTTGTTGCCCATAAAAGATCTATTATAAGTTATAACTCATAATAAACTATAATCATTTCAAATGCTTTTTTTCTTGAACTTTGTACTTAAAGAACCAATAAAAACATTAACAAACAAATACTAATAAAACATAGGATTAATATATATAGTGAAAGTCAAGTTAAGATCTGAGATTAAGAAGTTCTACGAAATTTTAAGGGATGGGAATATGGTTGGGCTGGATTGGCTTAGGGTTGAAAGAGTTTGATTAGGGTTAGGGTTGGGTAGGTTAAGGTTAAAGTTGGGGGTTTAGAACTTAGGGTTGGCCTTAACTCGACCTAACCTAGCCTGACTTGCAACCCTATCTACGAAACTCTGAATGTAGGACAGAGTATGATAGGGGTGTGCACTAGAGACTCGGGATGGTGAATATGTTGTTGTAGATATAAACGACATTAATTATTCTTATCACGAGAATTCTCTGATTCATTCCATAAAATTTTCTGAGTTCTTTAGAGATGAAATAGAAAATTTTGCTACAGATATACAGGTGGATGTATATATATATCCCTTGCAATTCCTACAATGGACGTGGTCACCCAATTGATGCCATGCTCAGGCCTCAGAGTATGCCTAGCCTGTAAAGGCATTGGAAGAGTTACACTTCTTCCATTCACATCAGCATATGCAATTCTTGTAAAGATCGGGTCAAAATATGATGGAATAGTGAACCACAACACCACATGTAGAGGATATGTGGTGGTTGAGGTGTGAAGGAAGTTAGCCCCCCGTGGCTTATTAGTATTTAGTCGGGGTAAGTTAGTGAATTGGTAAATTGATTATGATTCGGGTGTTCATTTATTGTTATATTTGGTCCCATAGTAATCAAAGGTTTTGAAGAGTATTAGTCACCCTGATATCTAATACCCTCTTGCAAGGTGGACAAGCAATTTACCTGTGTGCCATAATACTCTCTCCCTTTTACCTCTCTCTTTATCTGAATAACTTGTATCACATAAGAACATTGGAATCTCACTTACTTGGATAAATTTTACTTGGGGAACACTTGCTCAGATAGATATAGATGTTGATTCTCATATCAACATTACATAAGCTACAATGTCACACATGAAACCTTCTCCCCCTGAGAGTAGCCTTGAGAGGAAGACCACTAAAATAATGACATGTTTGCTGTTGGCATCAATAGCACATAAGAACTTATCA